CTCTGTAATTGGTCATTGCATTGATCAGTCTCTCAGTCTTCCACAATTGTTTTCCATTATAAAGATCATATTAATTCTTCTGCTTCTGCCCAGTTGACCTAGCATCGGTCCCCGTGTGTTCTCCCAGATTTTTCTGAATCTGTCCTTGTCATTTTTGATGGTACAAGGATACTTCATTTCCATTCCCGTTCCATAATTGTCTAGCCCTGAACCATTTAGTTGATGGACACCCACTTTGTTTCTAATTCTTTGCTACAGCAAAAAAGAGACACTGTGTATATTTTGTTCCCGTTGATCTTTTCTCTCTTTCTTTGGTACGTTTGGCATATAAGTCTAGGTGTGCTAAGACCAAAGGCATAGGGTATCATTCACATCGAGTGATTTTTTTTTTGTAAGATACAGTTCTCAACTGTTTGTCAGTATAGTGGAATTAATTTGCTCTTCCATCAGCAGGAAGTTATTGGGCCTGCCCTTCTACTGCCCTGCCAGCAATTGTCATCTTTTTTTGTCTGCATTAGCCAGTCTGATGGGAATGAGATGGAAACTCAGAGTTGCTTTAATTGAATTTCTTTTATTATTCACGATTGGAAACATTTTTCATCTAGCTCTTCATGCTTGCTTTTTTTATGAATTGCCTGTTCATATCCTTTGCCCATTTATCTATTGGGGAAATAGCTCTGGTTCTTGTGTCCTTTAGATCTTGGATAGCAGATCTCAATCAGAGAAATTTGCGGCAAACATTTTTTTTTCTCAGTTAACTATTTCCCTTCTAATTCTGACCACACTAATTTTGTTTGTACAAAAACTCTTCAATTTTTATATAATCACAATTCTCCATTTATTGCCTGTGACTCTCTCAAGCCACAGCCATAGTTGTGAGAGGTAATTCCTCTGCTCCTTTAATTTCCTTATAATGTGAACATACATAATTTGTCCAACTTGAACAAATTTGCTCTAATTGGCTTACTACATGTTCAGAAATGAAAAAGTAAAATGAAAACTAGGGGAAATAGTTGAGGTAAAAACTTAAAATGTATTTTTTAAAAATTAATTTATTTTGGTTTATCAACAATCACTTCCATAAGCTTTTGAGTTTTAAATCTTCTCCCCCTCTCTCCCAGTCTCCTTCCCAAGATGGTGTGCAATCTGATATAGGCTATACATATACGTTCCTGTTAAACATATTTTCACATTACTCATGTTGTAAGGAAGAATTAGAACCCATAGGAGGAACCTCAAGAAAGAGGAAACAAAACAAAACAGAAGAAAAAAATAGCAAATAGTATGCTTCGAACCGCATTCAAACCTCCTAGTTCATTCTTTGGATGTGGATAGCATTTTCCATTATGAGACCTTTGGAGATGTCTTAGATCCTTGCATTGCTGAGAAGGGCTAAGTCTGTCAGCGTTACTCATCGCAGAACATGGCTGTTACCGTGTACAGTGTTCTCCTGGTTCTGCTCACTTCACTCAGCATCAGACCATATAAGTCTTTCCAGGTTTTTCTGAAGTCAGCCTGTTCATCATTTCTCATAGCACAATAGTATTCCATTACATTCATATACCACAGTTTGTTCAGCTATTCCCCAATGGATGGGCATCCTCTCAATTTCCAGTTCTCTGCCACCACAGAAAGAGCTGCTATGAATATTTTTGTCCATGTGGGTCCTTTTCCCATTTGTATGATCTCTCTGAGATATAGCCCTAGAAGGGCTATTGCTGGGTCAAAGGGTATGCACATTTTTGTAGCCTTTTGGGCGTAGTTCCAAATTGCTCTCCAAAATGGTTGGATCATTTCACAACTCCACCAACAATGCATTAGTGTTCCAATTTTCCCACATCTCTAACATTTATCATTTTCCTGAAAAACTTCAAATTTCTAATTCCACTAATTTGTAGTTAGTAGAACCAGTCATTCCCATAGAGATTGGGCCAGAGTTTATATTTGCTCAGAGGTCAGCCAGTCACCAAGCACTTGTGAGACCCCTGGGGCCAATCATGGCTCTCAGCAGCTGGGGAGACAGGCCTCCCTGAGGAGCTCCCGTGCTAACTGGGCAGGCCACAGGCACACATAGAAGGGTAGGGGCAAAGTAAGTGTGATGGGAAGAAAAGCAAAGCCATGAAATGGGAGGTTTGGTGGATCACTGGCAGTTGGGGGGATCAGGAAAGGCATCTGCAGGAGAAGGATTCTGAGACGAAGCAAGAAGTGCGTAGTGCTTGGGCCCAGCTGGTGCAAAAGCTTAGCGACGTGTGGGAATGGAGTGTTGTGTGTGAGAAACAGAGAGAAGGCCAGCTTGGCTGGATCGAGGGAAAGTGATGTCCAGTGAGGCCGGAAAGCAAGGTGGAGCCAGGTTATCGAGAGCCTCCCAACTGAAACTGAAGGGGTCAGGTTTTCTAGAGGCCATAGCAAGCTTGATGAACAGCAGAGACTGGTCAGGCCTGCATTGAAGACTGGTTGGCTTGGCAGAAATGTGGGGAGAGAGACATGAACCCGGGAGACCAGCCAGGAGGGACCTGGACAGATGGGGACGCTGGTGATGCTGAGTGGCTTTGTGAGCAGAAGAGGGCTCAGATGCCGGATAGGTGAGACTGGATGGTTGTACTTGAGAGGAGCAGAGTGAGGAGCTGAAGGTAACATGGAGCAAAGCCTCTCTTTACTGTGCACGTGAAGACCGAGGGGAAACGTGAAATATGTCAAAGGGACTAATATTTCAGGTGCTTTTATCCTTCCAGGTGCAGATAATTGTTAGTAGTAAGCCTTACCTACCCATGAAAAAAGAGGCGGGGCTGCACCTGTGATCTGAGGGCTATCTTTGGGAGCTCCCAGAGAGGAAATGCCTTCTGTCAGTGCAGGTCAACTTCTTTTTGGTAGCCAAGACTTAGCGCTTCCGTTTGCTGTAGAGATCTCTGCATGTACAACGATTTTTGACACCAGTTACTGTTTTCTTTGCTTTTCTCTCAGCTCTCCAACCTTAGTTCCTCACTGGGCCTTTGTATCAGGACCATTATTCACTCCCTGCTTCGTTTTTGGGCGGGTGGGTTGGTTGGTCCTATGCTGGCCCTCTGGATTTTTCAGGACCCTCTTTAGCATCTCTGGACAGAAATGTCAGGGATGGATCTCCAAGTCCCTGTGCCTGCTCTGGCCCATTGGGAGCTCTTTGGGACTCTTGCTTGAAGCTGTGCTGGGCTGCCCTACTGTAGCCACTCTCCAGCACTCCACCCCACCCATAAGCCCCACATTTAGGGGCTTTCTCAGGGGACTTCTAGACTCAGAAGCTTGCAGGCTCCATCGGGGTGTGCTGGGAGGAAGTGGTAGGCCAGTGCTGGCTTTGTTGGCTGGACTCCCTTTCTCTGGCCCTCCGGCCTCTGGAGGCTGACTTCTTCTGTAGTCCCAGGGGTGAAGCTGTGCCTGTGGTGGTTTCTCATTGTATTTTTTTTTTTTTTGCTTTTAGGCAATTAGGGTTAAGTGACTTGCCCAGGGTCACACAGCTAGTAAGTGTCAAGTGTTTGGTCTGAGGCCGGATTTGAACTCAGGTCCTCCTGACTTCAGGGCCGGTGCTCTGTCCACTGCGCTACCTAGCTGCCCCATCTCATTGTATTTTTTGATCATGATTTGGTCAGGTTTTGCTGAAAGGAGGGTTGTGGGAGCTGGGTCGCCTGCCCTTCAGACAGTCATCCTAACAGACTATAGCAGTTCCGAAAGGATCTGGGATCTTCTGTAGTGAGCATTGGGTCTGCATTTAAGAGGGACATGGTCTGTAGGACTAGGAAGGTGGTGGTCCTGTTGTGCTCTGCCCTTCTCACACCTGCTCTGGAGTATTGTCTTCGGTTGTATGCACTGGGGCATTAGGACGTTGATAAGCTTTGGAGTGACCAGGGGAGGGCCAGCCGGAGGGGAGGACCTGGCATCTGGGTGTAGGAGCATGGCTTGAAGGAACTGGTCTGGCTTAACCTAGGGAAGAGGAGACTCGAGGTAGACCTGGCAGCTGGCTTCAGGTATTCGTAGGATTATTAGGCTTGAATGATACAGCATTTATCAAGTGCTTATTATCTGGGGGAGGGAGAAGAGCTCTTGGAGAGAACTCTATAAACACAAGCAAGTTAACCCCTGCCCTGGAGGACTTACATTCTAATGGGGTATAAGGTAAAAGGTGAGAGTGTGCACTTGCTGGCATGGTTTGGAAATGGCCAGGAAGTAGATTAGGCCAAGACTCACTTGTCAGAGCTCCTGAGGCCGAGTCCAGAGTTGCAGTGGGAGGGGAATGAGGAGGATGGTTGCCTGGAAGGCAGGTGATTTAAATGGCTATTTGGCCCCAGGGGACCAGACAGAGAGCTCAGGGTAGTAGTGGCAGGAAAGTAAACTGAGGCTAATATCCAGAAACACCTGCTCACAATTAGCCGTGTTCAGAAGTGGAATGGGTTCCCTCTCCATGGATATCTCCAAGCACAGGTTGGATGCCTGCTTGTTGGGTGTATTGTAGCAGGAATTTCTTGGGTCCGTGGGTTGACCTGCATGGCTGCTTAGGTCTCTGGCAGCTCTTGAGTCTATGATTCTGTGATAAATGATTTCCATGTCCATGGCCTCCATGAGTTCTCTAGGGGGAGGGGTGGGGAACATCCTGAGAATCTCCTTAGGTTTCTCTTGATGTGGGGAAAGATGCTAATTATCTGCATGTCCTAACTACTTAGTACATGGGCCATTTTTTCCTGCAGGACAACAGGCTCCATTTTCTTCTTCCTAAATTTCCCTCTCTTTCCCTTTATCCCATGGCCCAGACTGTCTGTTCAGACCAGAACAGTTTGGGAAATACTCCACTCTGTTACCTTTTGTGTCATTGAAAGGTGTCCCTGAAGGGCCACAGTGTGGGGAAATGCTTTGGTCACTTTAACTGGAGTTGTGTTAAGTGAGCAGTAACCTGAATCCCTGTTAAATAAATAAAATTTTCAGTTAAGTTGCAGGTATTTTCCAGATATATTTATAGTTTCCTTTCTATGTTCTAGGATAATCAAGCAAAAGGAAAAATGAACACCATCTGTGGCCTACAGTCTTCTAGTAGAAACTGTGTTTTCTTGCAGTTAGCTTCACCGACTAACTGGAGAAACTCTCCTAGAGCATATTGGTGGCTGACTTCAAAGAGTCCTCATCAGGTGCTAGTGAACCACGTGGCAGACAAATGCCAGGGACAGAGCCTGAGGAGGAGCCCTGGGCTCACTTGTTTACCGAGGGTAAGTTCTCCCTTCTCTAGGACCTGTAAGAGCGGCCAAGGATGGCTTTTCAGTGCCCAAAGCGGAGAAACATGGAAGAAGATGAGCAGCTGCCCTGGGTGGCCCTACTGCTCTTCGAGGCAGAGATCGCTGGAGGGAAGTGCCATCCTCGGGCTCTCCCGCTTCGTCCCTGGGAAGGGGATCAGAGACGTCAGCAGTCTCCACACGTCATCGAGGCTCCGGGCTGCGCCCGCTCCTCTTCTCTGGCTCATCCTGAAGCCGGCACAGAAACTTCTTGCCATCGTTGTTGGCAGGTGAAATACTTTGTTGTTCGCTCTTGTGCTTTAGAGTGTGGGGAACGCTGGCTCTTTTAAAGAGAAATACCTCAAGCCAGCTGCACTTAGCATAAATTTAAGTGATTGTTGATTCTGCATCATTTTATACATTTCTGTATTTACGAGAGTGCTTAGAGTTATAGAATATTAACGTTTAAAGAGTCTTAGAATGTAGGCCCAGACAGAATTCATTGTCTTCTCCCCCCTGCAACCCTCTTCTCTTCCTAACTTCCCTACTATTTTTAAAAATTCATTTTTATCGTATTTTCAGTCTTGAATTCTCTCCCTCCCACTTTTCCCTCCCCCACATATTGAGAAAGCAAGACAAATAAAACCTACTGTAAAGATATAGTCAAGCAAAACAAACTCCCACATTAACTGGGTCTGTGCCTCACTCTCTGAGTCTGTGACCGCTGTCTGGAGGTGGAGAGCAGTTTTTATCGTGAGTCCTCTGGAATGGTTTCCCTGCTGCTGCAGAGGCACCAGTGTCCTCCCAGCCCCTCGGGCTCACAGTGGAGGGGTCATCCTGGACCCCCCCCCCATCCAAGTTGGTGTAAACTCTTGTTGCTTCTGCCCTTATAACCTCTTTCCTGTGCACCCTCTGCTGGTGCCCCTGTCCTGGTTCAGGCCCCTGTCACCTCACACCTGGACAATTCTATCACTCCTGGTGGGTCAGCCTGCCTTGAGTCTGTCCCCACTCCACTACGATGATTTTCCTAAAGTGCAGATCTGATCGTGTCACCCCCTACACTCTCACTCAATAAACTTCTGTGGCTCCCCATCACCTCCAGCATCAAGTAAAGACTCCTTTGTTAGACATTCAAAGCCCTTCGTGATCCACCTTTCCAGGCTTCTTCTGTCTTATTGCCTGCATGCTCATCCCAGTGACGCTGGCTTCTTTGCTGATCCTCTGTCTCCTGACCCTGTCCTTCTCCCTGGCTGTCCCCAGGCTTGGAATTCTCTCCCTGCTCCCCTCCACCTCCTGCTGCCCTTGGCTTCCTGCGTGAGTCCCAGCAAAAATCTTACCTGCTTTGGAGAAGTCTTTCCTCGGAGACTACACCAGTTTGTCTTGTTTGTACACAGTTGTTTGGGTGTCATCTCCCCCATTAGACAGACTGTGAGCGCCTGCAGGGCAGGAACTGTTTTTGCCTTTTCTTTTTCGCCCCAGAGTGCCTGACAATCAGTGGGTCCTTACCACATGCAAACTGACTTGCTTGTGGAGCTAGGCTTAATTAAAGAATGATAGAATTTCAGAACAGGAGGGACCCTGGAGGTGGAGGTTCCTTTGAACTCTGAAGTTCTGTGACTCTCAGAAGTAGTGGAGGCTGAAGAAAGGCTGGAGGAAGGCTCCCCAGCGCAGGGAGGGCTTGAAGAGGCAGGAGCTGCCGATCTCCTCAGGCAGCCTCTTCCCCTCTGAGACAGCTCCGATTGTCAGGATGTTCTGATTGACATCCAGCAAGGATGTCGAAGTCTGACCTTGTACCTCCTGTCCTGCTCCTGGGCTGGTCCCAAGTGACGGAACAGAATCCGTCTCATCACTTTTCTGCACGATAGCCCTTTACGTACTTGGAGACGTGTCTCCTTCCGCCGTTCCTCATGGCAAGCATCCGCCTTCTGCCTGCTGTCCACTATCTCTTTGGCTTATCAGTGCCCTTCTCGACTTCAGCCCGACCCACCAGGACCCCACTGCCTCCTTATCCTCTTGGGGGCACTGAGAGGGCTTGTTGGCCTCCACATGCCCCCGACTCCTTGAGATTGCAGTCTAGTAAAGACACCAGGTGTTTTTGGATCTTAACCATCTTGTGATGTGTTGATTTTCTTTCCCAGCTTTGGGTCATCTGCAGATTTGATAGGCATGCCATTTCTTCCTTTACCCAAATCATTGGTAACTCTGTTCAGTGATGCAGGGCCAAGTGCAGATCCCTGGGGCAGTCATCACAGTGACACTTTAAAGTTTATAAAGAACTTTTCAAGTATCTCATTTTATCTTCACAACCACACTGGGTGATAGGTGCAGTTCTGTTTTGCAGAGCAGTTGGGGTTAAGTGACTCTCCCAGGGTCACAGAGCTAGTGAGTATCATGTATCTGAGGCTGGATTTGAACTCAGATCCTCTTGACTCCATGGCTGGTGCTCTATCCACTGCGCCACCTAGCTGCCCCCTTTTAACAGTTTTTTTAGGCGATTGGGGTTAAGTGACTTGCCCAGGGTCACACAGCTGGTAAGTGTCTGAGGCCAGATTTGAGCTGAGGTCCTCCTGACTCCAGGGCTGGTGGCTCTATCCAGTGCACCAGATAGGTGCAGTTCTTACCTTCCTTTTACAGATGAAGAAACTCAGGCAGGTTTTGAACCCAGACCTTCCTGATTGCAGGCCACTGCCTCTCTCCGTGGCACCACGTGTTGCCTTACGTTGGCGCCAAGCCACTTCTGGCTCTTCTCTGCGTCCAGCCACTCAGGCAGCTCTGCCTCCTCGGCCTGTGTGGTCGTCTCTCCCACGACTGCGGTTCTTCCACAGTGACAGCCTGAGGCCTTTTTGTGAAACCCTTGGCAGAAATCCAGCAGGACTCAGTCGAGGGCATTTCCTGCCTGTTTTCCTTTAACCAGCTTAGTAACCATGTCAGCGTAAGAAGCGTGCTTAGTCTGGCCTGGCCTGCTTTGTGCACACACATGAACACGACACAGGCACGCACAGGCATGCACGTGTGAATGTGCAGGCATGGAGGGGTGACCTGGGCCTGTGGCTGGCCTTCCCCCCACCCATGCAGCTCTGCCCTTCACGGTGCCAGCCTCTTGTGCTTATTGCTTCTTTTTTAGGTGTCATCTAGTTGGATTCAGCCCGGGGGTGTAGCTGTCATCTAGGCTGCTGGTTTTCTGGCCGTCTCTTCACTACTAGAGTCTAGAATTTTCTCAGGAGTCAAAGACAAGCCCACAGCCCTGTCTTTTTGGATGTTCAGGATCTCATTTGCCCCCTCCAGGCCCGGGGCCCTCCTGTTCTGTGAGATCTGTCCGCAGTCACTGGCAGCGGCCCAGCAGGCTCATTGGCTGGCCCTAGAACCTTTGAGCACAGCTTGTCTGGACCAGAAGGAGCTGAGGAGGCAGGAGGGAACCCCGCCTGATTGTGGGGAGCCCTGTGAGAAGCGAGGCTCCCGAGCCCTGCCTGCCACCTCCCACAGTCCATCTTGGAGGTCTACTCTTGACCATGAATTAGTCATGAAACGTGAAACAGAAATTTATGGCATAGAAATGTTGGCTCTCTGCTCACGTCTCCAGAACGAGTGCCTTGTTTTAAGGCTCACTTTTAGAACTTGCAGACAAAAATTACAAGACATGTCAGTTTGGTGCTTCTTGGTCAGATCCTTAGATGAGATGAATGCTTGCGAGGCAGCTGGGGCACTGCTGTTAGAGTGCCCTCCTGGAGTTGGGAAGACCCAAGTTCAAATCCTGCCTCAGACCCTTTCTAGCTGTGTGACCTTGGGCAAGTCACTTAAGCTCTGTCTGCCTCCATTTCCTCAGTTGTAAAAGGGGGTGTTATTAGGACACCTGCCTCCTAGGGTGGTTGTGAGGGTCAGATGAGATAATCATTGTACAGCACTGAGCACAGGGCCTGGCACGTAATACATAGGTGCTTAATAAATGCTTGTTCCCTTCCCCCCCTGCAAACACCCCTTGTCAGTATGTGGAAGTTGGAAATAATGAATCATAAAAGTAGAAGGAATCTTATTAACTTATCTCATATAACCTACCTCAGTCCAAGTTCCTTTAAATTTTTTTTTTCTTTTGGTGAGGCAATCGAGGTTAAGTGACTTGCCCAGCTAGTAAGTGTCAAGTGTCTGAGACTGGATTTGAATTCAGGTCTTCCTGACTCCAGGGCTCATGCTCTATCCACTGTCCCACCTAGCTGCCCCTTAAATTTTTTCTATATTGATTTTAATGAACACCAAAAAAAAGAATATTTTCATATGCAAAATAGAAGAGAAAGCTGTGTGAAGCAATGAATCTCTATTATGTACGCTTGCTTAAAAAATAGATGTGTGTGTGTGTATATATGTGTGTGTATGTGTGTATATGTATATATACACACACACACACACACACACAGACCCACCCACACACATATATATATATACATATACACACATGTAATAAACCCAACCTTTTACTTTCAAAATTGTCCTGCTCATCTGCATTTTTCTTTGAACTAACTTCTGTTCTCATCATTGCATTTTTAAAGATGCTCTAGTAATCTCATTTGTTTTCTCCTTCTCTCTTTCTCCTGGCCATTCTGTCTCTAGTTGCCAATCCTTCCCCCAAATAAAAAAAGCACCAGCACAATCCTAGTAACAAGTAATGCTAACATGTGTGCGCATTTGCCGTGCCCGCCTGGCCAGTTGTGTGTCTTGGTTCTGCCCTTCTCTGTTGGGGCTGCTCACTCTGTCACTGGTTCTGAGCCATGGCATCCCTCAGTGATCCTGGCCACAAAGTGCTGCAGTCTTTCCCGGGTAGTTTTCTTTCCATCGTTATTGCTCCTCATGTTCCCTCTTAAACCGCCGGAGTTTTAAGAAATATGTGATGTTTTCTAGTGTCTGTCCTAGTGATTCATCATCCCATAATTAAAAAGTTCTTTACGTCAGCCTATGCGCTTGCTTTCTCTAGTTAAGCCACTTTTTTCTTTGACCCTGGTGGACTGGAAACCACTATCCCGGGTCCACATAAAATTTTTATCTTTTTGGACCCCTGTTATTTTGTCATTAGCCTTTGCTTTTATGAGCTCCCTCCCTCCCCTTCCCCCCAGCTCCTCTAACGCAGCTTTAAGGTGCTAGTGGAGCTCAGCAAGAGCTTATGTCTAGACAGGCCCAGAGGCAGTTGGTTGGTTGTCAGTCTGTGAGCATTCATTAAGCTCCTACTAAGTGCCAGGCACTGCTCTAAATTTCTGGGAATACAAAGAAAGGGGAAAAAAATAGTCCCTGCTCTCATGAGCGT